AATGTAATCAGGATAATCTAGGCTTGAGATTTCAGATGTTTACCAGAAAGCTTGTGTTACAAACTGGACATGAAATTGGAAAGATGTGGGTGATGTCCATGCACAGAGAGTCTAATGAAAGATGCCACTGAGTTGTCCAGTATTTTTGGAGTTTAACCTGTACTGGCACTAAAACTTGTGGTCTCATAGACTGTAGCAACACCTTGCCGACAGCCTGTTAGTCGAGTGGCCCTGCCCTAAAATATGCATAACTTCCAAACCGTTTTTTGTACCAGGCTGTTAACATGTTTATTACTGCTGTACAGTTGAGCATTTTAACACGCGAGTGTGTGGGGATTTACCCTGCTTTGGAATCAGCCTCAAGTGGCCAGTCAAGGAACTGCAGATTTTGGCACATCTGCATTGGCTTTATTTTTAAGCCTTGGATGTTGCCACTTGGTTTTAACTAATGCTTACTTTTATTGATGAATAATTTGTCTATGTTGTTTTTTTGTAATTTTGTTACTTTAATCAATTAATAATTCAAACTACATTTAGTCTGAGACACTTTGGTCTCAGTGCATACATGTGAGAAAAGATTGAAAATTGAGCCAATTCTGGTTTACTCAACATTCAGCATATTCAGAGAAGGAAAAAAAAGACAAATTAACTTGTGCAAGAAGTGAAGATGAAACTTTTCATTTGTAGGAGGTGCACATCTGACAGTGTGGACTCAGATCCAACTTACTACCCGTTTGGTAACTGAACTTAATCTGTTTCATCCAGATATCTTTGGCCCTATTATGGAGGACCTTGAAACCTTAAAGAAGAGCCTTGCGAAGGTCAAGCTGAGTAAGTATCCTATTCAATCATTACAAGGGAGTGTTACAAGGAATGAGAACATGTGGAAAGAGATTAGTTATAGTTGTTCAAGAGACACTGCTGTGTTTGATTTCTTGTTGAAATAAGTTGTGTTCATGCTAATGTTGTGCTTAACTATTGCCTCAGTATATTTATTTTAAATGTATCTTTTATTCAGGGAGAATGTTGTCTGAGAAAGGAGCAATGAGAAATATTTTTAGTGAAATGCTGCAATATTTCCTCAGTCTTAATGTATTTACATACAAACTGCATCATTATTGTGGAGGGGGGAAAACTGCAGATATTTCAACATGTTTTTCTTTAGAACATCAAAGCCAGAAAAAAAGAGTTTTTCACCTGTGTATGAGGCTAAAAGAGAGTCTGATATTTTAATGTCAGAGGAACAAACATGTAAAATAAATGTGTTATGCAAAGACATCTGAGCAGAGCTCAAGGGCCAACATGACAACACAGTTTTGAGTGTAGAAAGTGTGTCATCACTGCTTCATTTATTCCTGATGTGTTGCATGTTGTTCTCTTTATTTTCAGCTATAAACTACGACTTTGTCCGCAGCGTTGGTCAGAAATACTTTGTGTCCAACAAGGAGATTGGCTCGTTCTCCAGGGCCGTTGACTTCTGCTCCCAACGAGGCTTAGAGCTGGCTTTACCCCAGAACGAGGAGGAGAACAACATACTGACTCAAGTGTTTGTGGAAAGTAACGAGAACGCCTGGATCAACGTCAACAATAAAGAAGTGGGGAATTTTGAGGCTGATATGAAAAACCAACATCTGGCCTTTACCAAATGGGGAGAGGGGCAGCCAGACAAGTCCATCCAGGATACAGGCTGCACTATGCTGTCAGAAAACGGTATCTGGAAAGTGACACCTGAATGCTCTCTGAATGCTTACATCATTTGTCAGATATAGAAAGTTCTTGTATCCAAGATGAGAAACAATTGCTCCTACAAATAACTTTCACATGTTGAACTTCCCCAAAACGATTATCTCAGATCCTTGTCACTACTACAGACATGTATAATTGCATCATCAGCATTGCATTATTAGTGCTGCAAAGATGTATTCCTATATATAAAGGAGTTAAAGCAACAATATGATATATGTATAGAAACAATGGTGAATTCTGAAGGCATTCAGTGTGTCACAATAAAGTGTACGGCAATGAAACAGTCTCATTTCATTCATTTCAAGACTCCTGGCAAATTATTTCCATTTTAACAAGATTGGTAACATGACAATCTGGACATTAAGTATAACTAAAGCAGCTGGCATCTAAGAAGTACTAAAAGTAGAGTCAATGACAGATCAATTAGGAAAGATCTTATAGATGACACATAGAACTCTGGATTGTTCCGAGTATAAGGGTACATTTTGTTACAGAGCTGAGAACACTACAATAGAACAAAGCTCATTCAGGAATAAAAAAAAAAGGAAACAAGCATTCTCTGGGACAACAAAGGCTCCCATTCACTGTCTACAGAGCAGCTCCAGACTTTATACCCTATGACATCACAAGTTTGAGACTCACTTCTCTGGTTTCTGGCTTTAAGAGACAGCAGCTCATATTCACAAATATTGATTGAATTTTCCTTGGCTACAGAGATAATATATTAAAAATCTTAATTCAAGTGGTGTTCCCCTTTAATATGATACATCTGTGACCAGTACCAGCACAAAGATGGTTATATTCAGTAGATCCTTTTTTTAATTTGAACTAAAAATGCCTCATTATCATTCACTGCTTTATTTTTGTTTTTGGTTTTAGCTCTTCCCATCTTAAAATCTCAGTAGGCCCTCTGTATATCAGAACTCAGATGGATTACAAAACTAAAACTAAACTCTGAAAACATCATCATCTGCAGTGGGCTGAAATAATGAATTCTTTCAATCTACAATCACAGAATTAAGTGAGATATTTCCAGCATTGATGATTTAACAATCATAAGTAAAAGGTGGGAGTCACAGAGTCACTCACAATACGATGTTTACAATTATTTAACAATACCTCCCACAATAGTGAAAGTATAACGACACAGCAATTCTGCAATACTTGATACATTGCAAGACAATCATCTACAAGACATTACCACATCTGTGTTACTAAAGGCAAAATACTCCTAAAAAGGCAACATTAGAAAGTATGTTGTTATTCACTACATTGTGCTCTTTATCACACTTCAACATGCTTTAACACGCTTTAACAAACACACACACACACAATTATGAGTGTTAGTGCCTTCCTCCATGACATCTTCTTTTTCATTACTGCATAATTGCTTTCCTCAAGCTTTTAAAAGGAATAGGAGATGACGCTGGTTAGCTGAGTTCATGCTATGTCCAAAATACACCAATGATTGACTGAGGGACTTAATACGACCCCTTTGTCCCTTACGTCTTAGGGTGCTTTTACACCTGCCCTGTCTGGTTCGGTTCAATCGAACTCAACTTCGTTTGCCCCCTAAGTGCAGTTCATTTGGGCAGGTGTGAACACAGCAATCACACTCACTTCTTGAAGAGGCGGTCTCAGTCTGGTTACAAACGAACTTTGTGGTGAGAAAGTGCTCCGACCTGTATCTGAACCAACTGCAGTCACATGACACATTTTTTGGGTTAAACATGAGCATGTTACAGTTCTGGAGGATTATTAATGTGCACCTCCTCCTGTACTGCCTTAATATGCACATTCAGCACATCCAATGCATCAAAACACTGTTTTCTAGTTGGAGCCGTGCCCCGTTTTCAAACTGTATGGTTTGACTAAAATGAACAATGACAGCAATGTAGTCCACGATGAGCAGCGCTAAAATCAACCTGCGTAGTTGTCCCTCCATTGTGACATTAGAAAAGTGTCACATTTATCTTGCAAGTGTACTCTTTTTCAACGTTTTGATTACTTCCTGGACTTTTCCTGCATGGAAATTCTGACCAATCAAGAGCAGCTTTCTCTCGCAAGGCATTTGATCTGGTCCACTTGTAAATGCTGCCGTGAGAACACAAACCAACTCTAGGCAATAATACAACTTTGTAACAAAATCAGTCCCTGATTCAGACCAAAGCAAGACAACTCGAGGTCTAAAAGCATGTTTACGTGGCACCCAGATTTGTGCCATTTCACTAGAAAAGTGGAGTTGGACTTGCCCGAAATGCACTTGCATCCTGCACTCTAAATCACTTAAATAGTGTTACTTTATTTTGCAATGCATCTTAATTATTCAAGGTATAACTGATGATTTTTATGAAATTCTATGATCTCACAATAAATATGCCAGTTATTTGGGACACTTTTCCTGAGCCACACAAATGTGCTAGCCTTGTGCAGTCAGCCCCATGTCCACAGCACACATTATCATTTGGCTTTAGGGGATAAATGCTCTGGCTTGTTTAGATTTCTGTAAACCAACCACAATTGTCTAGTGAGGCACAAAGTCCACAATGGTGCCTCTGCAAAATACTGCCTGAGGGGAAATTATTTTGGTGGAACATTTGCACGTGAGGAGGTGAGCACTATCATTAAAAAGAAAATGCAACAGAAAAAAAACAGTATCAGATGAATGTGGACTGTGACATTCAACTTCTACTGAGAAAGAAAGACACATAATTTGATAACAAAGCAGACATGCCTTATAGCACGTTCCAAATCAACGTCACAACTGGCCATTTTCAGTGTCTACATTGTTAGTTCAGAGGTTGTAATTGTTGTTTCCTGTAGCTAAGAACATTTGTCAAAACAGTAACAGATAGCAGAAGGAAGGGAGAAAGTCAGCCTAAATATCCTGCAAATGGCAGGTAAAGGCCATAGTCATAGTCCACATCCAGTGAGTCAGACTACTGCTGTGCTAACTCCAGATCTGTGTTTCAAACATGAGGCAGCAGATATTGCTGAAGTTGTAATAAACATCACAGCCCTCTACACTGAAGAGTTTCCACTGGCAACACTCTGCTGCAACAGGATAAAAACAAAAAAAATGAGTATGAGGACTGCATGGAGAGGAAGAAGATACGAGAGTGCACTTGGAGGCGGTTGAGAGACATGACACCCTGACCTGATTATCATCTCTCTCTCTCTCTCTCTCTCTCTCTCTCTACATCCGTTATAAACTCTGGACTCAATTTCTACATACACTATTCACAACTTTCTTTATCACTTTTCTTTAAAAGTAGTGAAGAAGTAGCTCATCCTGCACATCACTCCTCGTTCACACAGTGAGTTCCTTTGCTATTAAATTCATGACAATTCACAGCCTGAAAGTCATTTCTCTGTACGAGTTAGAAACCACAACATGTGGTCTCAACAATGAAAGCTTGTTCAGTTAAGTCTTATTAAAAGCTATAAACAGGTTAGATATGAACACATCTCTGTATCTACAGTAGAGTTTAGATCGGGCCCAAAAAATCCAGCCCGACCTGGCCCGAGCACGTTATGTCGGGGACCGGCCCGGCCCGGCCAATTAACTGTAATTATGGGCCTGAGCCCGATTTAAACCCGACATTTTTCAGTAAGTTGGCTGTTATAATTAAGAGTATTAAACCACAATTCTTGTTAATTAATGACAGAAATATAGGGTCTTGATGAATGGCGCAACACAGAAACATAATTATGTAATAAAACAGGTGTTTATTTTAGGATCCCAAGGTCAAACGAAAAAAATGAACAGTGAACTATAACATACAAGATGAACAAAAACTAACTTTGTGCAGCCTCAGTCAGGCTGTGCGCACACAATGTTGCAACATAACTTTGTTGTAACTTTATGTGTCATATTAATTTTACTTTTTATAATACATAGCCTATATGCTTCCCGGGCTCGGGCAGAGAATCTAAGCTCTAATCTACAGTAAGAAGGTCAAAAGACAGCCAAATAATATTATATCATAATTAATATTTCCCTGGGTCCTGGGTCATTTTTAAATTCTTAGAATACTGCTTTGTGCAAAAATGGTAGTGGACAAGTGACAGCAAAACTTGTTCACATTTCCATCTTTTAGCCCAGGGTTCCTGCAGCTCAACACAAGTTAGATTTAAAACTTTATGACTTTTTTAATGCCACTCAGTATGAAATTTCTGGCCAATTTTACAATAACCAAAATTGAAGGAAAAAACAAAACAAAAAGTATGATCAAAAAACTAATTTGTCCAAATATTTATTGTTAGATATAACATTACTTTTTGGTCAAGTTGAAATGGTAGATGATCAACTTCAAACACTGAAAAACAAAATCATTATTTTCAGTGCAACACATGGAAAACTATAAACAGATAATCAAAAAGATAGTATTTGGTTTGCCTTAAACAAAAAAATCTTGTTCATTTGTCCTTTGAATGGATGTGGTAAATGTATTTGCGTATTCCTTCCTCTATCCGGATCTGCCTGATATTAATGCCAGAGGGCAACTGGTAAATTGTCTCAAAAAAATTGATCTTGCCAAATTATTTTATATTTTAGAATGCAATGTTATTGAAAATAATTTGCGATATCCTACTTTTCATGTCACAGGATTTTAAAGACTTCTGAAAGATGAATTTAAGACATTTTAATACCAATTAAGGTCTTATTCTTAGACTAATGATTCCATTGACTTTTAAGACTTTTGAAGGATCCATAGGAACCCGGCTATAACGACAGTCTGGTCTCCCAAGCTTTAACTCTGCCTCTTTTTTTCTTTTTATTTCAGAGCTGAATCGCTGAAGGTATTGTAATTTCTTTTTATCCCTGACTTCCCCCCACCGGCTTCTACAAGATAAATTAGTTGCACTTAAAAGTCCTTTCCTTGTGATTAAGGCTGTGAGAGCCAAAACCTGTATCAAATTTATGACATGTTCACTGTTAACTAGTTGATTTCTAATTATACTAAAAAACAAGCACAAGAAGACTTTCTTTCAAAAGTACTCACTGGCAGGTCGAGAATAGAAAGAGTAAAAAAACTTAAGAAGAGAAGATGATGAGAAACTGGTGTGACTGAGGATAAGAGAAGATGCTTGGAGATGGATAAAGAGAGATATGAGATGAAGGAAAAGTTCACCCCAAAATCAAAAGTACATTTTTTCCTTCCATTTTGTCAGTCTAGATTATTTTGGTGTGAGTTGCCGTGTTTTGTCTGAAGAGATGTCTGCCTTCACTCTAGTTTTTGATGCTTTGAGCAACATAAGCAGCCACCGAGTTCCATTATATTCCAGGGGAGGCAGAAATCTCTATGGCTGATATATTCAACACTTGGCAACTCAAAACAAAACCATCTAGATTTTTGGGGTGAACTGTACCTCTGAGGGAAGGTGGTAAAAGGAGTTAAGTGAGAGAAGGGTTAAAAGGAGACAAAGAGGTAAAGGGAGGTAAGTGAGCCCTTGAATCGGATTGTAATTTTATACTGATTTTAAATGTTTCAATAGCCCCCAAATGGAGTTAAAATACACTGCGATTACACTTCAGACTGTGGTAATTATGTTTTTAGTTCCACATTGATTTTATAACGCAATCATAGCCCCGAGCAGTGCAACAACCACAGACACAGGCCGCTACAGAATGACACATGGAGGCGTTTTTACTGTAGATGAAACTTCAAGTTGAGTTGTGGTAATGAAAACACAGACACCCAATTCATCCTCCTCTCCAAAGATTTACTGTCATTATCCAAGTTAGTAGATGAACTTGTTAGAAAAGTATCATGTCAGTATTATCACAGTTATGTTTAATATTTACCTAATCTACCTACCACAAAATCTCACCTTCTCTGCTGATCTAATTTTTGTGACAATAAAGAAATTGTGGTTCCAATAATTATTATGTTCTTCATTCTGAAGATGAGGATGATTCTTCTATTCTGCATCCTCTGCCTGATGACTTCTACTGGCCACAATCAGGCTGCAGGTAAATATGGTCCCCAAATCCCACATGACACACTACACGATGTTTTGATGATTACCATACCAGAAAGAGCATGAATGCACCACCTCGGGTGATCTCATGGGGAAGCAGATGTAAACAAAATGGAGACTGGCATGGTGCGACAACACACTGTAATGTTAACAATGCTTTGAGGTGAGAAAAACAAAAGCAGAAGACCAAAACAGTCTGCATAAGAAAAACATCTATAAAAAGTCTACTCTTCAGCGAAAACTGGAGGTAAAACTTTAACTGTCAGTTTAAATATCTGTCAACAGTAGTATGCTCGCTAAAGTTAGCCTCAAGAGCCAGAGTGTTTACCCTTGCTTGGCAACATCGTCAGCTGCTCCATACTGATGTCATCATAAAAGTTATTATACAGATTTATAATTATTGGGGCAGCTCAATGAGTCTGTGAGCAGCTTGGGAGGTTAAAGACTGGATCTGTTAAACTGTGACAGAAAAAAAGTGAAAAAATTAGAATTACTACCCCACGGTTTTATGCCTCTGTGCACCAGTTAAGTTTCTCTTACAGTTTACATCCATGTCTGAGAAAACATGGATGCTTCACACACAGAACTATACAATCAGCAGTTTCAAGGTGGGCACGCAAAATTAGAGTCACCACTTCAGTATCTGACCAAATGTTTCATCATCATTATTATTATTATTATTATTATTATTATTATTATTATTATTTTATCCTATTTGACATTTGTGTTAAGTTTTGTCATAATTAGCATATAAATCCTTGACTTATGGCTAAAAAAAATATTTTGTGAGGTCACAGTGACCTTGACCTTTAACGACAAAATTCTAATCAGTTTATTCTTCATTCCAAGTGAACATTTGCGCCAGATTTGAAGAAATTCTCTCAAAGTATTCTTGTGATATCACACTGACAAGAATGAGACAGATGAGGTCACACTGATCTTGAACCCTGACCTATGACCACCAAAATCTAATCAGATCATTGTTGAGTCTACGTGAACCTTTGTGCCTAATTTGAAGAAATTCCTACAAGCAGTTCTTGAAATATCGTGTTCCAGAATGAGGTGGATGTAAGGTCATGCAGACATCAACCTTTGACCCCTGACCACCAAAATCTAATCAGATGATTGTTGAGTCTCAGTGGACCTCTGTACCAAATATGAAGAAATTCCCCGTAGGTGTCCTTGAGATACTATGTTCACAAGAATGAGACAGATATGGTTACAGTGACCTTGACATTTGACCAACGGCCACCAAAAACTAATCAGTAAATCATTCAGTCCAAAGGGACATTTGTGCCAAATTTGAAGAAACTCCCTTGAGGTGTTCTTAAGAAATCGCTTAACATGGGTGGGACAGACGGACAACCCGAAAACATAATGCCTCTGGCCACGGCTATCACCGGTGCTGGGTGTTTCCTTTTTCAGTTCAAGTTTTGTTTTCATTGCCAAAACTTACTATCACTGTTCTAGCTCCATACGTTCCCTGCTCTTCCCAACAGGAGTTCCTGGACCACCTGGACCACGTGGACCTGCTGGACCACGTGGACCTGCTGGACCACATGGACCTGTTGGACCTGCTGGACCTATTGGACCTATTGGACCTCGTGGAATGACTGGACCGCCTGGACCGCCTGGACCTGCTGGACATTTTGGACCTCCTGGAATGACTGGACCACCTGGACCTGCTGCATTCTGTGAACGAGGTTTCATATTTTCTAGATTTTAAAGAGCATATATACTGTTTATTGTATCAAATTATTTTCACCAACTGAGTAATTGCTGTTTGTCATTTAATAAAATGTAAGATGCAGCAGTTGTACAACCTGAGCAAGGTTCAGTCTTCATTGATACACAAAGAAATCTCAATACACACAGACTCACTCATTGTTTAGGAGATGTCAATAGATACACTAGGGGTGGACACATACACCGCGTCCAAGTTCACTATAATACTAACTCTTTTTTAAAGGTATTTATTTTTGTTGAGGCTATGTCTGAGTGATATTTTTTCAACTCTTTTAATCTCTGAGCCCATAATTTCTAAGTCTTACACACAATGCAATTTAAAAGGGTCAATTTCACTCAGCAGGATCAGTGTACTCATCAAGATAAGAACAACATAACCTGTGACAACACTTTCATGTCTGAGAAAATAACTGGCAATGTAATCAGGATAATCTAGGCTTGAGATTTCAGATGTTTACCAGAAAGCTTGTGGTACAAACTGGGCATGAGATTGGAAAGATGTGGGTGATGTCCATGCACAGAGAGTCTAATGAAAGATGCCACTGAGTTGTCCAGTATTTTTGGAGTTTAACCTGTACTGGCACTAAAACTTGTGGTCTCATAGACTGTAGCAACACCTTGCCGACAGCCTGTTAGTCGAGTGGCCCTGCCCTAAAATATGCATAACTTCCAAACCGTTTTTTGTACCAGGCTGTTAACATGTTTATTACTGCTGTACAGTTGAGCATTTTAACACGCGAGTGTGTGGGGATTTACCCTGCTTTGGAATCAGCCTCAAGTGGCCAGTCAAGGAACTGCAGATTTTGGCACATCTGCATTGCCTTTATTCTTCAGCCTTGGAGGTTGCCACTTGGTTTTAACTAATGCTTACTTTTATTGAATAATTTGTCTGTGTTTTTTTGTAATTTTGTTAGTTTAATCAATTAATTATTCAAACTACATTTAGTCTGAGACACTTTGGTCTCGGTGCAGACATGAGAGAAAAGAGTGAAAATTGAGCCAATTCTGGTTTACTCAACATTCAGCATATTCAGAGAAGGAAAAAAAAAGACAAATTAACTTGTGCAAGAAGTGAAGATGAAACTTTTCATTTGTAGAAGGTGCACATCTGACAGTGTGGACTCAGATCCAACTTACTACCCGTTTGGTAACTGAACTTAATCTGTTTCATCCAGATATCTTTGACCCTATTATGGAGGAACTTGAAACCTTGAAGAGCCTTGAGAAGTCCAAGCTGAGTAAGTATCCTATTCAATTATTACAAGGGAGTGTTACAAGGAATGAGAACATGTGGAAAGAGATTGGTTATAGTTGTTCAAGAGACACTGCTTTGTTTGATTTCTAGGGCTGTAGTCAACCAAAGAAAATCTTGGTCGACTAAAGTCACACATAATCTTCAACTAATCGATTAGTCGTGGGCAAAAAAAAATCTGCACATTATTTTTACTTCTGCGGTGGTGTGTCTGTGTCACTCTGCAGTTACAGCTCCAAAACACTAGTCAGCGGTGGAGGACTGTGTTACGTGCTGTAAAGTTTAGTTCAAATCAAACTTTATTCATATAGTTGATTCAAAACACACATTAAATATGGCTTAATAGAGACAATTTCAAACACAAGTCCGGAAATTGGCTTCACTATATATCGCAGACCTGACAGACAAACACTCACGGTCGGGCATGTAAACTGACCAGGGCTCAACAATAATGACTGCCCGATTGCCCGGGGCAAGTAAAACTCACGGTCGGGCATGTAAACTAACAACTCACTTGCCCGATCGGGCAAGTTGCTAAAAATAGTAAAAGTTAATAACTAATTGATAAAATAAATGTATTTTAAAACGTGCTCTTCGGCTCTGATGCAGCGGTCTCTGCCTGAAGTCACAGGCACAGCTGTGTAATAATGTCCTGCCCACAGCCCCCATAGATATTATTTTGCGCAACGGACGCTTCATATAATAACTAACAATATAATATTTATGGTGTTATGCCATCGTGTCATTTCTGTCTCTACATGGTCACGCATTAACAATTCTCCTCTGCTCTCTGTATCGCGCACGGCGGATTTCCGCCACACACCCGTTAAAGGGTTTTTTTTGGGGAGTTTTTCCTTATCCGCTGCGAGGGTCATAAGGACAGAGGGATGTTGTATGCTGTAAAGCCCTGTGAGGCAAATTGTGATTTGTGATATTGGGCTTTATAAATAAAATTGATTGATTGATTGATTGACACAGGTGAGCACGCTAGAGCGGCTCGGGCCGCATTTTCCTGACCAAACCTGACCCCGAGCCTGGTGCAGTTTGTCAGCTGACAAAGTTATTGTTATGGACACTGTGTAAATAACCATCAACAGACTGCTGTTAGGCACAGACAAACAGCCGCTCGCACAGCAGCGTAGCAAGGCACTCCTGCTGAGCTTGTGTTGCGTTCAGGTGCTGTCATGTACATAACAACTTCCAACACTTAAATAGGTCATAGCACAAAACAGCAGCATGTCAAGTGACATTTTACTTTATTATATTCAATAAAATTGTATGTTCCTAAATCTTGAGACACCTCATATGTAAGCTAGACAGACATTTCACCTGCTCATACTGTGCTGTGTTGAGGAATCTTTACGATTAATTAACCGTGGCGTTTAAAATCGCGGTTAATAGTGAAATCAAGTAATCGTGACATCCCTAGCGTTGAACCCTGTCTGGACACACTTTCCCCACCAATACAACATGCTAACGTTATTAGCACAAGTCTATGGCATTTTACATTGTATGAACTAGCCTAGCGTCTAGCTATCTTTTCCTCTTCTCATATAAAGCCAAGGACAACAGCAACATTTAACAAAGGTAACGGTACATAATTTGGCTCCATTACAGCTCACAACATTCACCGACAAAACAACTGTCTTATACTAAACACGTTTGCCAAGCAAATACAACATGCTAACGTTATTAGCACAAGTCTATGGCATTGTACATGGTATAAATTAGCCTAGCGACGAGTGGAGATTTCCTCTGTTCATATGAAGCCAGGTTAAATCCCGAAGTATAAATCCCTGAAGGATAAATCACACACAAGACTTAAAATGCTATTTTAGTGGAGGCTTTACTGTCTTCACAATTTATTGTTTCTTATCTGTGAAGTACAAGTAAATACAAGCTTCGTTTCCACTAGTGATGTGACGTTCGTGAATGAGCCGACTCTTTTGAGTAAATGAGTGAACCGGCTCTTTAGAAT